TTGGAGCCGGCACCAGCTTCCATCCGTCCTCTGTCTCCACCTGCAACTGCTGCTGGTACCACCGGTAGTGCTGGCCCCTTGCCCTTACTCGTGCCGGTAGCGCTTCATCCTCTCCCGTCTCTCCCTTTACCCATCGCAGGGCCGGCCCGTCCTCCCATATGTCTGCTGGCCCCTTCCCCTCCTTGGCCCCGTTCTGCTCCACTTATCTGGCCAGCAGTGTCAAGGTTACAGTGGGCTCAAGTGGTGGGGGGTTCCGTGAGAGGCCATCTACGTGTTGCAGTGTCTTTCCTGGCCTATGCCTGATCTTGAAGTCATACTCCTGCAGCTTCATCGCTCATCTTGCATTCCTGCCCGTCAGTCCCGGGGTTGACATCAGCCACGTCAAGGGCTGGTGGTCTGTTACTAAGGTGAATTCCCTCCCCTGCAGGTACACCCTGAAATGCCCTACTGCCCATACGACCGCCAACCCTTCTCCGATGTAGGAGCTGTACTGCGCCTCTGCCGAGTTGCAGCTCCTGCTCGCATATGCCACTACCTTCTCCTCTCTTTCTACCTCCTGGCAGAGAATCCCCCCCATCCCTTGGCTGCTCCAATCGGTGTAGAGCATGAACGGCTGATCAGCGGCGGGCAGCTTGAGCACCGTCGCGGTCTTCACTGCTGCCATCAGGTCCTGCAGCGCCCTTTTCTGTGCTTCCACCCACTCCCACGCCTGGTCCTCCCGCAATAGCACATTCAACACCGCTGCTCGCTTGCTGAAGTTGGGCACAAACCGCCTATAGTAGCTCAAGAAGCCCAGCACTGCTCTCAGCCCTGACTTGTCCCTCGGCTCCCTCAGTCTGTCCAGGACTTCCACCTTGGCCTGTTGGATCCCTATCTGTCCCCCTTTCACCTCATACCCTAGGTACTGCACCGTCTGTTCCCCCCATCTGCACTTCTTCGGATGGCAGGTGAGTCCCGCCGCTTCAATCACCGCTAGGGTCCGCTCCACATCCTGCAGGTGCTGCTGCTCTGTGGTGCTGAAGATCACCACATCATCAATGTAGCAGGCTGCGCACTCCACTCCACGCAGCACGCTGTCCATGACCCTCTGGAATACTGCTGATGCCTTCCTCAGTCCAAACGGCATGTACAACCACTCATACAGCCCGTCTGGCCCATGAAAGGCCGTCTTCGTAACGTCCTCCTTTCTGATTTTGATCTGGTTGAACCCCTGCCGCAGGTCTAGCGTAGTGAAGAACACCCCCTCTGCCAGTTTGTCAAAGATCTCCTCCGCCATCGGCATCGGGTACCTGTCTGCTACGGTGATTTTGTTGAGTGCCCTGTAGTTTCCACACATCCTCCTGCTCAGCACCTCCCCTGTCAGGTCTCTCCTGGCTGCCACCACTATGGGTGTGGCATACTCGGACTCCGATCTCCTAATCAGTCCTGCTTCCAGCAGCTCCTTGATCTTCTCCTTGCAGATCTCCTCATCCCCAGGCGGCATCTTCCTCCTGCGCTGGAACACTGGTTCTGTGCTGCTCAGCTTTAACTCCATCTCCTTCACCTTGCACCTTCCCAGTTCCTACATGGTGAAGGCAAAACACTTCCTGTGCCTGGCGAGCAGCTCCTGCATGGCCTCCTTTCCCTCCTTGCTCATCCCTTCCCCCACCACCCATCTCTCCTCCTCCTTCTCGTGGCAGCTCCATGCACCCCGTGGCTCCGCCTCCATCCTTCCTCTCTCTTCCGCCTGTTAGAGACTAAGGACGGAGTCTATGAAGATTAGGTGCCCAATTTCTCAAAATCGTTGGTCTCAATTTCAGGACAGAAACGTCGACTTCACAAGAAACGTTGTCGACGAAAGGTTATCTCTTAGAATCCCACGAAATTCGATTATGTTGTAGGCCTAGACCGTGGCTACATTTCCCAATTTGAATCGTATCAAAATATGAAGTATATCTCGAGTTATGCTTTTCGGCGCACTAGGGGGTATGCTGCCACAGAAATTTAACTCAATCACAATTAACTCACAAGTCCCACAAAAGAACATTAGAGTAGCACTAAACCTGGTAGGAGGGGAAGAGGAGAACGAGAGGGAAGGTCCCAAGAGAGAGTCCCCAACCAAGGAAACCCCATGCCACACAATTCCCTTCCCCATAGGCAACAAACTTTGACCTTTGTCACTTTCCAACCCATGCCATCCACCTCACCTCAACTTGGCCACACTTACCAACCTGGTTTGGCTTCACCCAACCTCTTGGCAGCATCTACAGTGATGGGTTCGAATTTCCCAACCCCCACAAGTATGTACCCCATATTGAGTCAATGCCACAACTTCCCAAAGTAGCTGCAACCAAAATATATAAGCATACGAACTCCAATGTTAGTAACTTTCTTGGTTGTGCTCCGATCGCGACGATTCTTGGTTCGTCGGAATGCTCTTGAGTAGAGGAAACACTTCAGATATCTGCTCAAGCCAAATAACATACATACACACGCACACACACACACAGAAAATCCAAACCACACAAGACACAAATTTCTTGCATACGCTCACACCACGCATGCAACGCACAAACACATGATGGGAGGCAGACAGACGTGAATGCATATGGTTGCATCACATAACACCGCCTGCCCCTAGCTCACGACCGTCTCCCGCCACATCCGCTGAATCAGCCACCTCATCACGTGGCCATCCATTGTATTCCCCAGAGCCCTCCTCCTGTTCGCTTCACTTGCCCCAGGCGCTGCTGTTGCGTCTTCCCCGTATCCCATAGCCAGCTCCCGCTCCAGTGCCGTGGGCTCCTCCCATCTCCCCTTCTTGTGGTCATACACCATTCCCGGCCCCGGCTTCCCTGCTTCCCACTTGTACCCTGCTACCCCGACATACGCCACCAGCGTGGGCAGAGCCCTCCTCTCCTGCCCCACTTGGTTGCACTGCTCGTGCCTGCTGTAGCTCTTGCGACACACTGGTGTTGGGGTCCGCCCTGGGTCCAGGATGTCCTTCACCTTCCTTTCTGCTGCTCGCCTTACCCCCTCCATCTATGCCTGCAGTTGCTCGGCAGGGACCACATTCTGCCAGTACATTCTGAGCCTGTGCACATAGGACCCCATTCTGGCCGCATCACAGCTCACCCCTTCTCCCAGTTGTCCCCTGATCCTGTCCCTCACCAGTCGGATTGGCTCTCTGCTATCCCCCTCCAGGTCCAGGTTCTCCAGCAAGTATGCCACCCTGCCCTGCCTCTCCTGCAGCCACTCCATGATTCGGAACAGATCCTCCAGCAGCCCCATCCTATGATCTTCTCCTCCCTTGCCCCTGCCTGCCCAAGACACCCCTTGGCATTCCCACCCTGCCACCAGCAGATCCACCTGCCCCCAGCTCGCTACTTCGGCCTCACCGGTCTTTCACATCGTGAATCGTCCCCCCCATCGCCTTGCTGATCACCTCCTCACTCAGCAGGTCCGGGAATTCCGCTTGCAGCTTCCTGGCATGGTGCTCCGCCATCCTCCTCACCCCGGGTTCCTTCTCTACATATGTCCATCTCTTCACTGCTATCCCATTCCTCACCACTGCTGACAGCCCAGCCCCTATCCCCCCAAATAACTCCACCAGGTGGATGGGCTGCTGCCAATCACTCTGCTGCTGCGGCTTGTCCATCCCCTTCATTCTAGGCGCTCCTCCCCTCCCTGGCAGCCCTCCCTGCTCCCCTGGCAGCCGCTCCCCCACGGCCTGGTACACTCTCTTCGGCTCCACCTTCACGAATCGCACTGGCAGTTCTCCTAGCGGCCCCTCCCTTTTCCAGTATCTGGTCCTAAACTCCACCCTCTCCATCCAAGTGCAGATGGTCATTCCTACCGCATACACCAGCTCGGTGCCCACCAGCACATCGAAGTCCTCCGACTCGGAAATCCCACACTTCATGCGGATTCTGGTTTCATGTGTCCCCCCCGGCAGCAGCGTCACTTCTATGGGCGTCCGTGTGCATGGCATCCATTTCGGCTCCCCCCCTTCTGCTGTCATCACCAGCATCCCCTTGGCCACGTGCCTCTCCGGAGCCAGCACTCCCAGCCTCTCAGCCATCCCTCTGCCCAACATCACGCTCTGTGCCCCCGTATCTATGATGGCTGTCGTTACCTTCACTCCCTCCACTTCCATGGCTCCCTTTTCAAGCAGCAGCACCGAGGTCTGGCATGCCAGCCTCTCTTCGGGGTGGTGTGCGGGGGCTGGCTCTTGGGCTGGCTCGGATGGCGCTTCTCCCTTCACCTGCTCCTTCCTTCCTTGCTCTCGCCTGCCATCTCTTCCCCCGCTTCTCAGCCCCATCTCCTCTCTCCCCCTCCATGCCATGAGAGCACACTGCACGTCCTGCTCCACCTCCTCTCCCCCCCCTTCTCCCGCGTACATTCCTGCCTCCGCCTCCCCCTTCAGCCCTGTTGCCCTCAGCTGTGCCTGCAACCTGTTAATTTGCCGCTGCAGTTCCTCTGGATGCCTCCTACTCCCCCCTTCCCTCTGGTAGCAATCCTTCGCCTCATGTCCCTGCCTTTTGCAGATTTCACACCGGGCTGCATCCGGGCATTCCCGCTTCCTATGCCCCGGCTTCCTGCACCCATCACAGTTTTTGCAGTCCCTGCGCAGATGGCCCGGCTGTCCACACCTGTGGCATGTCCTGATATCCGCCCCCGTCTCCCCTCGTCCCTCCGTTCTCCCTCCTCCTCCCGGTACTATGGCCGCCGCCCACGTGTGCCCTGGAAATTGCCGCTGCAGCCTCTCCAGGAATGCCTCGGTGGGGTCCTCGCCGTACCTCCCCGCCCTCCACAGCAGTTCCTCCATCCTCATACGATAGAGCGTCTCGGCCTCTCCCTCGAGCGTGTTCGGCAGGCTCAGGAAGAAGTCTACTGGATCCATGTGGTGCCGGTCGCAGCGGTACCGCACATTCCCCACCTGCATGAGGTAGTTCTTGAGGGTCGGTCCTGCACGCTGATCACCTGAGAATCTGGCGGGCACCTCCACCCGCGGGGCGCCGATGCTGCCCCCACGCCCCTCTCCCCATGCCTCGCTGGCCCCTTCCTGCCGACTCCTCTCTGTTCCCCTCGCCCGTGACCTCTGCATGCCCTCTCTAGCTTCCCGCGCCCGCTCTGCTCCTTGCGCCAGAGTTCCGCCTTCCGTTCTGCTCTCTTGGCGGCTTCCGCCTGCCTCGTACCGCCTCTCCCTCGATCCTCCTCGCCCCTCTGTCCGTCCCCACTGCACCGTCGGCGGTCCGTGCACCTCCCGCTCCTCCCATCTTCTCATCTCGCGCCGCGGCCGCCTCTCTGGCGATGGTGACCAGGCGTCCAAGTGCTCCCTCCAAGTGCGCGGCTGACGCCGCGGTGACCGCTCCCCCGCGTACTTCTCCCTGCGCGTGTGTTGTCCGTCCGGCGAGCGGGACCAGCTGCTGTCTCTCCGCTCCCTCTGCCTAGTCCGGCTTGGCGAGCGCATGGAGCTGCTGCGTCCCCCTTGCTGCTGACCGTGCTGCTTTGGCGACGCTGTTTCCGCCTCTCGCCCCCTCTCACCGCGCGGCTGCTGCCGTCCTGCCGAATGCGAAGCGCCGCCGCTCCACTCTCCCTGCTCCTGGCGCTCGCCGCGCGGGCGGAACTTGCCCACGCGCCCTCCTCGGAGGCGCCGCTCCCTCTCCGCCGAGCGGGACCGCTCCTCCTTCCCCTTGCCGCGCGGATTCGGCGCCTGCCACGCTCGATGGCTCATCCCGGGCCCGCCCAGCTCCTGCCGTCCAGAGCTCTCCGTGCGCCGCCCTTCCTCGTGGGGGTCGTCTCAACCGCGCGATCCCGGCGGCGGGGCCTCTAATTCCGCGACCGCCACCGGGCTCGTCTCTGCTTGCGCTTCCGCCAGCTCGGTTTCCGCACCGCCCGTTCCTCCTGTTCCCGCCTCATTCGCCCCTTCTATCCCTGCCTCCTTGTCTGACCGTCTCGATCCTTCTTCCTCGTCCTCCGCGCCCTGCTCCGGCGTCTCTTCTCGAACTGCATTGTGCGGCGAGTTCTCTCCGCGAGCGACGCTACTGCCGCTCCCTCCTTGTCTGCGAGACTGCTCGCCAAACGCCAACCACTGCCCTCTCTCATCGCCACGTCATCCGTGCTCCTCCGGGGAGCGGAACACCCTTCCGCCGCGGTGGTTTCCGCCCTCCGCGCCAGGTCCGCGTCCGCTCTCCTGGAGCCACGCATTTCGATCCGCGCGTTCGGCGTGTCCTTCGTCATTCGTTTGCGCATCGGCTACTCGACCGTCCCTCACAGCAGGGACCCGATCGGCGCGGAAGGCGGGATGGCGCGGCGATCGCTCCATGGATCGCCCACGCTCTCGTGACGGCTCTCGGCGCTCCCGTTCCTCCTCCCGTCGGCTATACGCCCTACCCCAGCGCAGCTCGTATCGATCCATCTCGTTCGCGCTAGGAAGTTACAGTCTTAGCCCCCGTGTCCCTTTTCTCGTTGTTATGAAAGAGGCCGGTCTCTCACCCCGTAGGTTCTCTCTTAGTGTCGTGCTAACGTGTGCTAGAGCCTGAGACAATCAGATTCACTAGTGTAAGAGAATAACAACGAGAAAGCATCGATGGGCTGGAGGTGAGCGACCTTACCCCACCCCTGGCTGCACATTTCCAAATGTGCGGCTCGAAGTTGGGGTTCATTGGTTTCACATTTCGCCCTTCGGAGTCTTTCCCCCTTTTTATCTCAACCGCTCTTATCCTGTTTCCCCGCTTCTACACCCTCGCTCCTAACAGTAACTTCGCTACATCCTACACCTATTACTTATATTCTTATTCCTATCTCATCTTCCTATGGACTTAGTATGAAGCCCACACTCTACCATCATTCTACTGTTATTGCGTATGCATTAAGTGCATATGCGGTGACAGCTTCCATCCCCAAAACGCGAAAGGATCCGCAAATGTGTATGAAGTGCCGCTCTTCATTCGCGAGCGCCGATGACCGATCATGCTCGCAACCCTCCCACGCCCTTGCTGGCTTGGTATTAGGCCCTGTCAAGCGCAGCCACGTGAACAGGCGGAAGAAAAACGCTCGGAACGAGCGCTTCCAGCCCCAAAACGCGGAAGGATCTGAGAAAAGTAGAACGAGAATGAATGACTAAGGAATGGAAGTGATACAAATATGCAACCCTAGAAATATGTACCCCATATGGGCTACCCCGCTATAGCCTACACAATATTATAATTTGACACACCCCCATAGGCAAAGTGGGGGAGAACAAGGGGTCACAAGACCAGTCAAGCAAAGTAGACAAAGCTCAGGGTGGATCACAACGTCACCACACAGTCCGAGCACAAGGTCAAGGCCACAAGGCCAGTTCACATGCAGGAGTACACATATATATATAAGGCTAAACAAGCAAGAGCAGGTATATATATGTAAGAGTACAAGCAAGGTCAACGGGTGAGCAAGTGAGGCAAGACAGGCACAAGACCCAGCTGAGTGCAGAAGCGCTGATGATCACAAGGCGGAAGTGCCTTGGTGAAAACATCAGCAGTGTTGGCCTCAGAGGCCACGTACGCAAGTCGCAACTGACCACGCTGCTGCAACTCACGAGCAAGAAAGTAGCGGAGAGCAATGTGCTTCGTTCTGTGCTCCAGGCGCTGCTCCCGAAACAAGGCTAGCATGGCCTTGTTGTCTACGTACAGCACCGAAGGAGAACGAGGCGACTCTCCGAGGTCAGTCAGCAGGTAGGTAAGCCAGCGAAGCTCCTGTGCAGCCATGGCCCCGGCATAGATCTCAGCCTCACAACTGGAGCCAAAATAGAAGACGAGCGAGTAGCCCGCCACGAAACAAAGCCGGAACCAAGACTGAAGGTGTAACCCTGTGACGACCGCTGCGTAGCCTGGTCGTCAGCCCAAGAAGCGTCCGCGTGCCCAGTGAGGACCACTGGACTCCGCCCTACAAGCACTAGCCCCATGCCCGAAGTACTGCACAAGTAGCGCAACACCCTCTTCGCTGCAGCCATGTGCTATGGTCGGTGTTTCCCAGGAGCGACATAGCGTGCAAGAATGCTAAGAGGGTATGCAAGGTCAGGTCGTGTGCAGGTCATCAGGTACATGAGGCAGCCAACAAGCTCTGGGTACGGGCCACTCGACTCTACGGACTCATCCGAAGGCAGAGCTGAGAGCGAGTGGCGAGTAGACATTGGAGTGGCCTAAGGCGAGGAGTACGTGAAGCTGAAGCGCTGAAGGACCTGCTGCACCATGTGTGACTGAGTCAGGGTAATGGTGCGGCGTGCTCTGTCCCGGGTGATCTGCAAGCCAAGGTAGCTGCGCAGTTCACCCAGGTCAGTGCACGTGTGTCTCTTCTGCAGTACGGACTTCACGTAGGCGAGTCCAGCAGTGTCAGCTGTGGCAAAGACCAAGTCGTCGACGTACACGAGGAGGTAGAACGGCGGCAAAGAGGTGTCGGTGCGCAGAAACAGCGACGGGTCGGCAGTAGAAGGAGCAAACCCAAGAGCCGCAAGCGTAGTCCTCAGTGTGTCGTGCCACTCACGTGGCGCCTGGCGGAGACCGTAGACTGGACGCCGGAGACTCCACTAGGTACCAGGAGGGAAAGACCCAGTGAAGCCAGGTGGGCGACGCAGCCAGATCTCCTCGTGCAGGCTGCCCTGCAAGAAAGCTGTGCTGAAGTCAAGAGAGTGCAGCTCGTAGTCACGGTGAGCAGCAACGTGCAGCAGTACCCGAAGAGTGGTCTTTTTCGGGGTGGGGGAGAAGGTCTGAAAGTAGTCAACTCCCTGCCGCTTACTGAAGCCACGAGCCACGTAACGCGCCTTGAAGACAAGCGGAGAACCCGGCGGCCGCTTCACCCTGAAGATCCACATGCCACTGACGATGTTCGCCCCAGGAGGGGGGACAGCGTCAACGTAGGTGCCTGTGGACTTCCAGGAAGCCATTTCTGCATCCATAGCTGCCTGCCACTGAGAGGAGTAGGGACCCTCTACGGCCTCCGCGTAAGAGCGCGGAGTCGGGATGTCTAGTGCATCCGGGTCTCCCTCAGGGGTAAGCAGTACGGACGCGAGATGAGGTGAAGCAGCAGCCAGACACTGGAACTCCTCCTGCCTGTCCTCAAGGACGTCCGTGCCAAGAGCACACTCACCCCCGACGGACGGAGGACAGACAGACGCAGACTCAGCAACAAGACTAGCAGCGTAGTCTAGACGACAGCGAGAAGCAAAGTCGACGAGCTCAGCAACAAGAGCAGATGCAGCAGTGGACTCAAAGGAGGGGTCAGTGACGACAGTAGCAAGGAGACGCGTGACAGTAGGACTGGCAGCACGAAGAGAGTCTGACTCCGGGTCGGCAAGTGCAGGAAGAGAGGACTCAGGAGGAGAAGGCAAAGGGGCACGCAGAGGAGCAGTGGACGGACGCAGAGACATCCGGTGTGTGCCAGGGACAGGAGGAGGACGCTGACGCGAACTGCGACCACTAGTGCGAGCAGCACGAACAGGCGACGCAGGACGAGATGCAGGCTCACGACGCTCAACAAGACCTCCAGTAGGACCAGTGTACGGAGAAGGAGAAGGCAGTGGGGAGGCCGGCGCTAACTGTGACTGCGACTGGACAGGCGGTGGACACTCTAAGGGAGGAGGAAGACCAAGAACCTGCTGAAGGAGCGGAACAAAGTACAGCCGCGGCCGCGCGGCGACTCCAGACACAACAGGGACAGCACCAGCACCCTCAGCGGCAGCACCAGCGTCAACAGCACCTCCAGCTCCAGCACCAGTACCACCCGCAGCAGGACCGCCGCCAGGACTGACAGCAGTAGCCTCAGCGCCAACACCCTCAGCAGCTCCGACTCCAGTAGCACTCGCAGGACTAGCACCTCTGAGACCGGCGGCACCAGCACCCTCAGCAGCCGAAGAAGCACCAGCTCTAGTAGTACGCCTCCAGCGCCGGGCAAACCACTCGCGCAGCTCCTGTGGAGAGAGTGGCTCCCGCCGAGACGAAGCACCCGGAGAACCACCAGGCCCAGCACCGCCAGACGCCACACGAGCAGGTTCAGCGGCCGCGGGCTCCGCACCCCCAGGCTCAGGAGCTCCAGACTCAGCACCCCCAGGCTCAGCAGCTCCAGACGCAGCACCCCCAGGCGAAGGACCCTCAGGCTCAGCACCCCCAGGCTCAGCACCCCCAGGCTCAGCACCCCCAGTCGTAGCACCCCCAGGCTCAGCACCCCTAGGCTCAGCACCCCCAGTCGCAGCACCCCCAGTCGCAGCACCCCCAGAGTCAGCACCTCCAGGCTCAGCACCCGCAGCAGTACCAGAGTCACCAGCAACCTCGACCGGCTCGACTGCATCTACCTGGGAAACACCTGAAGAGGCAGGACCCTCAGGGGGGAGGGGGTCTACCGGGGGGGGACCTGGCACAAGGAAGTGCGGTGGCGGGGGGAGGGAAGGAGTGCGGTAGGGGAAGAGGCGGTAGTAGGGTACAGACTCGTCGAACGTGACGTCCTGGGAGGACAGAACACGACGAGAGGTGGGGTGGTAGAACTGCCACCCAGGGGCGTTAGGGGGGAAGCCAAGGAAGACATAGGGAGCAGCACGAGGGGACAGCTTGTCTGCAGACAAGTCGCGGACAAACGCCCGAGATCCCCAGACACGGAATGCAGACGCATCGCCGACCTTCCCCGTCCACAGCAAGGCTGGGGAGGTCTCCGGCCTGGAGACCCTGGGGTGAAGGTTGATGTGATGCGCCGCGTACCGAACCGCAAATGGCCACAGAAAATGGGGGGCAGCCGCATGCATCATGGACGTACGAGCGACGTCCATGACCATGCCAATGCGGCGCTCAGCAATCCCATTTTGCTGTGGAGAGTCCGGAAGCGTAAAGGTCTGGCGGATGCCTCGCGCACGACAGTAGGCTCGCAGAAGGCCAGAGGAGAACTCTCCGCCTCGGTCAGAGTGTAGACGCAGAACAGGAAAGTCCGAGCCGAAGCTCCTCTTGAGCTGGAGACGAGCTGCGCGGATCCAGTCGATCAACACCTCAGCGACATCACCCTTGCTGCGCAAGGGGAAGACTGTGGTGTAACGCGAATAGTCGTCAACCACCATCAGGAAGTAGCGCTCGTGACCCTGTCCACGGACGCGGGCCGGGCCCCACACGTCCATGTAAAGCGTCTGCAGCGGGGCCTCTGTCGTGGGAAACTGAGAGTAGTGAGGGGCAGCTCGGAGCCGCCCCTCGACACAGGGGACACAGGAAGGACCAGGCCCCGGAGGAAGGGGAGGGAGGGACCGGGGAAGACCAGAGACAAGGACACGGGAAGCCATGCCTCGGAGACGAGGCAGGGAGGGGTGACCAAGACGGTGGTGCCAGAGGAGAGTCTCGTGAGACAGGAGGCGACACGAGCAGGGGGCAGACTCAGGACCAGACCTGGACGCTGCAGTAAACACCTAACCCGACGTAGCT